CAGTCACTCTCCTTTGCAAACGTACAGGTAGATCGGTTGGGACTCAGTCCGCGGGCGCCGGGCCGGGCCGGGCCGTTACTGGGACGCCTGCGAGGTGGGGCTCTCCGCCTTGCTCTCCTGGCTGGAGGGCGGCTTGCTGTTCCAGGGGCTGTTGGCGCCCAGGGCGGGCGAGTTGTTGAAGCTGTCCTCGTCGTCGATGCCGTTGGCCGCGTCGAACTGCGTGTTCTCCAGCCGCGTGATGAGCCGCTCGTCCTCGTCCCCGAACTCCCCGCCCATCAGCGTCGGCTCGCCCACCACCATCACATCCTGAAAGGGGAGACGGTCCCGAAACATAATCGAGGCAGAGGCGAGCCCGGCCCTCCGAGGCCTTCCCAGGCCCCCCCGCTTGGCGCTGGCAGCCGCCGCCCTCATGGCCCCTCAAGAGCTGGCAGCGCGCCTCCCAGCCCAGCCCGGGGCAAATGCAGAAGAGAAAGCACCGGGGGCTTATCCCCGACTGTCTTTCGCCGGGCAAGGACTGGTCACTGCACAAAACTAGGAGGCAGGTCCTTTAAAACGAACACCGGGACTTGCTCTTCCACCCAGTGGGGCATGAAAGAGGGGAGCTCGTGGCCCCCAGGTGCGTTGGAAGCTGAGAGATCAGCCAGATTCATGTTGGACGCGTGCTTGGAGGAAAGGGGCATGGGTTGCTGTTGAGCAGGGAGTGCGGGGAAGTTGCTGGGGGCATCCGTGAACTGCATCAGGCATGCCCGTGGCAGGACGGACCTGGGTCTGACCCAGCACAGGGCAGCTCCGTTCTTAGGTCCTGGACCTCAACTGCCTCCACGGACCTGCCCCGCTGGGACAGGGCATCTCAACTGCCCCTGCAAGGGGACCCCATGCGGGGGGTTCGCCAGCTGGGCCCGGTCTCCCTGCGCCCCTCTCCTCCCGGGGTCCCTGCTCTAGCGCCAGGTGCTGGCACTGCCAACCGTGCCCACAGTTGAACCCCAGGCAGCAGGGACTGGGTACGCTTAGGTCCACGCGGGCACGAGCGAGCCCAGCAAGCCCCATCACCCCGTGGGGGCACGGGGAGGGGTCGGGGAGCGTAGAGCCTTGCTATTCATCCTTGCAGGGAGAGGCCGTCCCTGCCCACGAGGCTGGCCACGAGCCTACCAGGCCCCGTGCCGCCACGGGCAGGAGGGAGAGGGCTGCGCCGGGGCCAGGAAGGAAGAGAGAATGGAAAGGGGATGCTTACAGGTACCTGACTGGAGAGGGCGAAGGTGCTGGCCGGGCTCTTCTTCTTGCTGTTGCTGTTGTTGGTGTTGCCCCCGCCCGAGCTCATGGTGCTGCCCCCCGACATCTTCCGTTTCCGGCGCTTGCTGGGCTGCTGCCGCGCCGGCTCGGCTGGGGGCACACGTCCGGTTACTGCCCCCGGCCTACACCTGCTCCACTGCTCTCCCTCCCACCCTGCCCAGCACCACCGAGCGGGAAGGGCTAAGGACTCTTCACCGGGGACTCGGTGGCAGGGCTGGGAATGGTACCTGGGCGCCCGGGCAGGCATGGGCTCAGCCCCCCCACCCCCGGCTCCAGGCAGAGCCAGTGCGCTGGGACACCCCCCACATAGATGGGGAAGCAGGCGGGGCCCTCACCAGGCGGTGCCACCATCCGCTGCCACTTCTGGAAGAGACAGGTCTTGAGGCAGTCGCGTGGGCTGAGGCTGTAGGTCTTGTGCCGCGACATCAGCTCCTGCATGGGCTCGAGGATCACGCAGAGCTGTGGGAGGAAGGGGTCAGGCTCGGCCATGCACGGCGTCCAGGGGCACGGTGGGGAGGCCAGAGCCCACCGCGGCCCCAACACCCTCTTGTTCCTGCCCAGCGGCCGCCCCGGGTGGACCAGGTGAGATGCTGATTTGCACGTCTCGTCAACAGGCAATGACTCCTTTGCATGACTTAGCCCCACAAGCCCTTCTCCACATCCCCGCCCAGCAGCTGCATCACAGGATCATGGAGTCCGGGAGCCGCGGGGGTGTGCAGGGAGCTGCACGGTCACACCCAACCCCAGCCCGGCTTGAGGCAGGATCAGCCCCGTCCAAACCAGCCCAGATAACCCCTGCGTCCGACCTCGGTGCCGCAAGACAGTCACCCCTGACAGCCCCAGGCATCGCCCCCGCCCCGGGATACAAGGGGGCCGCGGCCACCATTGGCCTGCTGCTGCCAGGGGGGTCGTGGGCGCTGCAGAGAGCCCAGGCCCAGGCTGTGCCCCCGCTGCAGAGGAAGGCAAAACCCCCCAGGCTGCCCAGTCTGAGCAGGGGGGAAATCCCTTCCTGCCCCAGTGCAGCATGGGGCTGAGCCTGAGGGTGGGGGGAAGACCCTCCTGCCAGGGCCCTGCGGGGTCGGTGCCAGCAGGAGCATTGGCACAGCCCAGCCCCAGCCCCAGCCCGGGCTGCAGCACCCAGCACCTCTGGGGGAGCTTTAAAAACACCCAGACACACGGAGCAGAAAGGAAAAGGGGGAGCATCCTGCACCCCCAGAACCCGGGTACCCCCCACAGCAGAGCACAGGCATCGCTGCACCTGGATCCTCCCCCACCAGCGGCTGCCCAAAGCTGCATTTAGAGCAACAGCTCCCATGGCACCGCTCTGTGCCCCCCACCCTGGGGCTTGGCGCTAAGGGGCCAGGCAGACTCTGAGCTCCAGGACGGCAGCCAGAGACTGGAGGCCTCGAGCTGCCCCTGCCAGGACCCAGAGCTGCAGCCCCCAGAGCAGCCCAGACGCCTCAGGGCCTCTGCCACGGGACAGGGCTCTCTCCAGGGGACTTCTCCACTGTGCTTGGGCCTCTGCCCTCTGCCAGCCTGCTCCGTCGCCCGGTGGCGGCTGGGGCAGCTCCTTCCCTGCATGGGGGGGCAGGTTGGGCAGCCACAAGTTCAGCCCGTGCCAGTCTTGGCTGGGGTCCGAAGACGTGGACGGAGAACCGGGGTTTCTGGCAGCCCGCCCCGCTTGCCCTCCCCATCCCACACTCACTCGGAGGTAGTTGAGGGTGGAGTTGGAGAGCCCGCAGCGCGTGATGTTCTTGGACAGCTGGTCCAGCATCTGGGGGTCCTGCGCCTGGGGGCAGACAGCGACACATCAGCCCCCAAGCTGGGAACAGCGGCTGCGTCCCCCCACTGCCAGCTCTGCCCAACCCATGCATGCAGGAGGCTGAGACCCTTTAGCCAGACTCTCCCGAGCCCCCTGGCCCAGGGTAGACAGCCCAGCACCCCCCCCTCCCTTTCCCACCCTGTGGGAGACACGTGAATGCCACAATGTGCACCAGGTGTGGGCTCCCTCGGCACATGGCAACCGCCCCTGCATGTGCGTGTACACGTGTGTGCACTCACGTGCATGGCGAGGATGCTGCGGGGGATGAGTTCCCGGTGCTGCCGGATGCTGAAGTGCCACGTCTTTATCCTCATCATGTCGTCGAACATGAACTCCAGGTAGAGCCGCCCCTCCACGCACACCTGTGATGAGGCCCCGTCATGCCGGCACTGGAGACCACCACCGTGCCCCTTCCCCGCACTGCCCACCCCCAGCCCAGGGCCTGGTAGGTCACCTTCCGCAGGGCATCACGGCCTGTGCAGTGCGAGGGGGATGCCAGGAGATGAGATGCCATGTGCGGCACCCGCCAGACGGGCAGGCACAAGCCAGCTCCCGGTGCCTGGGCCCACGGGTCGTGACCGCTGGCACTTGAGCCCATTGGCGCAGCAGGCCGGGGCATAGATGGTCACAGGATGGGGTGCCCAGGCTGGCAAGGGCAACCTCCACTCACACAAGTGCCAAAGAGCAGCTCTAAGGAAGTCCTGAGGACATGGGGGCAGGTCAGTCCCGGGGCCCCTGGAGGAGGAGGGCAAGTGGCGGTGGCCACGGGAGGCCGTGCAGCCATGACCCCTACCTGGGTGAACATGGGCTTGCCGTGCTGGGTCACCATGGTGCACTGGTCACAGTCGAGGGACACGAAGTTGTTGTGGAAGGATTCCTTGGGGTGTTTCAGCACATAGTACAGCTCCGTGGCGCCCCCCTCGAAGATGCTGCGGAAGTAGCGGGGGATCAGCGTCCGGCCGATTGCTGCAGGCGGGAAGGGAAAACGGCGTCAGCCACCTTCGCCCCAGAGCCAGCCCCACCAAGCGCTCCCCGGCCAGGGGACATGAGAACATCAGAGCTGCCGTGCGCGGGGTCAGACCCCGGTTCGTCCTGCCCAGTCTCCGGTGTCACGCGGGCAGAGGGTGGAGGAAAAGTGACTGGGTCTGACCCTGCTCCTCTCTCCTGCAGTCTTCAAGGTCCAGGCAGGTCCGATGCAGAGGCCGTGCCCCGCGCTTCCTGCTCAATAGCGACTGATGCCCCTTTCCCTCAAGCACGTGTCCGATCTCTCCTCCTGTCCCCCCTCCAACATCTCTTGTCTAAGCCGACCAGGCCTGGCCCCATCAGTCTCCCCTCACATGGAAGTCCCTCCACAGCACTCATCACCCCTGTTGCCCTTCTTTGAACCTTCTCCAGCTCCTCTAGATCCTCTTGGAGGCGTGAGACAGGCAGGGGGCATCTGCTGCCAGGACAGCGGGGCAGTCCCCCTCCTCCCCGGGGACACCAGGCAGGGTGAGGCCGGACCTCTGCTCTGCTTTCTCCGCTCTGCTTTGGGGTTTGCTTTCCAGGCCTCTGTCCCCAGGGCACCCAGCATCTCCAAGGTGCCCATCAGGTGGGTCTCTGAGCAGCCAGCTGGTTCTCCTTACCAAGCCTGTCTCCGTGCCCATGCTGGGGCTATACAGCAGATCCATGCAGTCCCAGACCACACAGCCACGGACCCACAGACCCGGGGGAAGCTGGGGGCCCGGCCCTGGGGCAAGACAGCCCTTAGCCCTTGTGCAGCGTCAGCCTTCGTGGGGCCGGCTCCAGGATGACCCGCGAGGACCGAGAGGCCGGCGGGGGGGCACTCACTGTATCTCTTTGGTCCATCCTCCAGGCAGAAGGTGATTGTGAGCATGGCATCGTCCTCGAAAAACTCGGTGGTGAAAGCGTCCCACCACAGGTTGTCGCACTCCTGGGTGGAAAACATGGTGGCATCTGGGCATGGCCAGGCCTCCGCACCCCTGGCTCAGGAGCCCAGCTGAGCACACGAGGAAGGGGCAGGGTCTCCCAGGGGCTGGGCACCAAATACCACCCTTATGTCCATCTTGGCACCCCCTCTGCCCCAGCCAGGTCCTACTCTGACCTCCCTATGTTGCCTGGGCCCCCAAGACCCTCACCCAGGGTCCTGACCCCTTCCCAGGCCCACACCTCTGTCCAGTTCTGCAGTCGCTTGTTGAGCTCAAATATCCGGTAGTCGGTCTGGTTCCCGTACGGCGTGTGCCTCCTGCCGGGAGAGCGCAGGGTGCCGTCAGAGCCAGGCGGGGGGCAGGCGACAGGCCCTGCGCCCCCCCAGCAGCCCGGGCACAGGACGCTTAGTCTCCCAGCTGCGCCAGCCCAGCCGCGTACCCGTGGGGCTCAGGGCTCTGTCCCTGGGGCCGAAGGGGCTGTGTGGGGGCAGGACGGCCCTGCCTGCCCCCCTGCAAATTGGACACCAGCACCAGGGGCGTGCCCAGACCCCGAGGTGCCCAGGCGGATGTATGGTGCTGCCCCCCCAGCCAGCACAGGGGGCAGGAGCTGAGGAGGCATCGGCAGCTGCTGCATGGACACAACAGGCGTGTGCCACCACGAGCGTGACAGCACCCAGCAGGGGGCAGCTGTGCCCACACGTATACACCACGCGGGCACACGCTCCTCCGAGCACCCAGCAGGGAGGCAGCTCCCTGCACACACACACACATGCACACGCAGGGCTCAGCTGCCAGGCCTGTGCGTGCCTCCCCCACCGCAGCTCCTACTTACCCGATGCCAGGCTCCAGGTACGTCGGCGGGTACATGGGTGTGGGACTGTGGAGACACAAGCAATCACGAGGGCGCTGGACCTGACCCGATGGGCACCAGCACTGGGGCCGGGGGGGCGCTCAGGGGAATAGAGACCAGGGAACTGAGGGGACTCTCCATCACTGCAGGGTTCAAGGAGAGGCAGGACGGGCACTGGGGGGGGAGGATCCAGGTGCAGCAATGCCCATGCTCCGCTGTGGGGTGTCCTGTGCTGGTTGCTCCCCCCCACACCCCTTTCTATTCCATGTGTCGGGGGGTCGAAGCCTCCCCCTGAGGCAGCCTGGGCTGGGGCTGGGCTGTGCCAATGCTTCTGCTGCACCAACCCCGCTGGGTCCTGGCTGGAGGGTCTTGCCCCCGCGCTCAGGATCAGCCCCACGCTGCACTGGGGCAGGAAGGGCTTTCCCCCCTGCTCAGACTGGTGTGCACTGGGGGGTTTTGCCTTCCTCTGCAGCGGGGGCACGGCCTGGCCTGGGCTCTCTGCAGCGCCCACGACCCCCCGGCAGCAGCAGCACGTTGATGCCTGCAGCCCCCCTCTATTGCGGAGGCAGGGGCGATGCCTGGGGCTGTGTCGGGGCGACTGTATCGTGCATCTCTGAGGTTGGACACGGGGTTTGTCTGGGCTGGTTTGGACGGGGCTGATCCTGCTCAGGACTGGACGTGGCCCTGCGGGTCCCTGCCCGCCCCGTGGCCCTGGCACTCTACGACCGCATGACGCCTCCCCCTGCGCAGCCCCACTCACCCCACATCTCGATCCAGCATGGTGCCTGGGTGGAAGGGGGGGAAGGCGTTGCCGTTGGGGGGCTCCTTTGGCGAGTACAGCTTGAACGACTTGGAGGAACAGCCTGGGGGAGAGACGAGGGGCAGGTCAGCGCAGCTTGTGGCCCCGAACCCCGGCAGCACAGAGGGACCAGCCCCACGGAGCCCCCCCAAGACACTCTCCTGGCAGGTGCCAACCCCACTTTCTGCCTCCCCCAGCCAGGATCGGGGCCCGGCCCCTCCCACCCGGCGCCAGCCCAGCCCCCAGAGAGCCCAGCGCCGATCCCAACCCGGCCTCTCTGGAGCCGCCGTGTCTGGGCAGCGCTGGCGTCTGAGCGCGACGGGGCTGGAGCTGGTGCCCTGTGCCCGGGAGCCAGCCAAGGGCCCACGATGGTGGGCGGGGGGGGGGGGCAGCTGCAGCAGGGGCATCACTCTGCTCGCCTCATCACTCGCGGGTCAGTGGGCTGCAGCTATGCAGGGGAGGGGCCCAGTGCCAGCCCTGGCAGGAGCCAGCCTCAGCCTGGTAAAATCAATGCCTCGCAGCTCGCGCAGCCCCCAGCGCCCCCGCACAGGTCTCTGCTGCCCCAGGCTGGGGGTGGGAGTGGGCCTGATCCTGTCCCAGCAGCTCCTGGAACCCCTCCAGCCTCCGGCGCCCGTGTCCCAGCTCTCCGTGGCGCTGGGCGCCCCGCGTGCCATCCCTGCCTCAATTTCCCCACCCGTGCCAGTGCCCGGGGAGCACCCTTGCTGGGCTGTGTCCTTCCTACAGTGGACCCGTGCGGCTGGGGAAGGCCAGGCCTGGCCGGCGGGGAGTTTGTAGCCCCCCCCAGCCCTCGCCCACCTCGAGCCCCACCGCACCGGGACCGGGCACAGCACAGATAGACGAGTCTGCATCGGCTCTAGGTCCCCCCGCAGCAGCTCTGGGTGCTGCTGTCTCCCCCACCCCCAGCTCAGCCCCGTCCAGGGCAGCAGTACGGCACAGCGGCCGGAGCCTGGCCTCTATTCCCAGCTGGGCAAAGAGCAGGAGGCTGGGGCTAGGACGCCTGGGCCCTCTCCCGGCCCTGCAGAGACGGGGGCTAGCGGGTTAAGTGCGGGGGGGCTGGGACCCGGACTCCTGGGGTCTCTCAGCGTCAGGGAACAGGACCGGGGCTCCGGCGACACCGTGCCACCCCACTGCGCGCCTCAGGTTCCCGGCCTCGGGGCGACGATTGTCCCCCCGCTCCGGCAGGGCAGAGGGGCGCTGCTCCAAGGTCGGACACGGGGCTTTGTCAGGTTTTGGGTTTGTCAGGGCGGATCCTGCCTCAGGCAGGGCTCGGACTGGATGCGACCCCGCAGCTCCCAGCCAACGCCGCGGCCCTGGGACTCGCATGCGGCCGAGGGGCCGATGGTGTCTGTAGGGGAAACGCAGCGTCATCACGTTTGAGCATGAAAAGGGACAGTCCCGGGCAGCCTGCTAAGCTGCACAACAGCTTAAGCGCGGGGGCCGAGGGGGAGCGGAGCCGACGCTGGGTCCAACCCCTGCGCTGCCCGGGCGCGCCGGGGGAGAGCGGCTTTCCTGAGCAAAACAGGGGAAAGCAGGGGGGCGGCAGCCACCAACGCCCTGCTGCTGCCGGGGGTCGTGGGCACTGCAGAGAGCCCAGGCCAAGCCATGCCCCCGCTGCAGAGGAAGGCAAAACCCCCCAGTGCAAACCAGCCTGACCGGGGGCAATCCCTTCCTGCCCAGTGCAGCATGGGGCTGAGCCCGAGCGCGGGGGCAAGACCCTCCAGCCAGGACCCTGTGGGGTTGGTGCCAGCAGGAGCATGGGCACAGCCCAGCCCCAGCGCCTCTGGGGGAGGATTAAAACCCCTCGACACGTGGAGCAGAAAGGTGGGGGCTGTTCCAGCAGCACACGTCGTGCCGCTTTGCTCACACATGTGAAGCCGTGTTTGGAGAGGAATCGCCGGGCCCGTAACAGGCACAAAACCGGCTTGGAAAACCAGCTTTTAGGAGTGAAGCCAAATGGCCCGAGAGGTTCTGGGCGCGGAGAGCCCGAGACAGACGGGGGCAGAGAGCCAGGGTGGCACTGAGACCCGACCGCGCCATCCCGGCCCCCAGGTCCCGGCGGGGTGCTCCCTGCAGGCCGGGCCAGGGGGGCCGAGGGGAGCACCCGGCCGTGCCACCAGCTCAGCGCTCGGACGGGACCCGCTGCACGAAGCGGCTGCCTGCCGCGGCCAACTGGACCCGGGTCTGTGCCGGGAGCATCCCCCAGCGCAGGGCACCAAACCTCCCTGCACAGACACATCCTCGAGGGTGGCGGGGACCGACCTGTACTCCAGGTTAGCCCTGGACCCTCCCCAAATACCACCGCCACCCCCTTCCCCTGCATAATCCACTGCTCTGCTTTCTGCCACCTGCCCTCTGCTGCTCTCCTGTCCGCTCCCTCCCTGACCTCCCACGTGTCACACACGCAGAGACTGCCTGTGCCACTTGTCAGACGTGTGCCACAGGTTGGCTGGCCCTGCTCCAGACAGCAGTGCTCCGTGGCATGCAGCTGCCGCAGCCCCCCGCCCCCATGCAAGGTATTTCAGGTCAAACAAAAGCCACTTTAGTAGCGAGCCCCCTCCCTCCCCCCGGCGTCTGCTCTCACCCGTGCACAGGGGTCACCCCGGCCTGGCACACCCAAGGACCCTGCCCTGGGCAGCCTCCTGCCTCCCAGACCCACGCACCACCCAGCACCGTCTCCCCGCTGCATCCCCTGCACGAGCCCTGGGACATTCGGGACATTTCCAGCAAGGCAGCGCCGGGCACAGCTGGTAGCACGTGCCTCTGCACCTGCCCGGAGAGGATCCTGGGAGGATCGGGGCCCTGGGTCCCTCCCGGTCCAGGCTCCCCTCCTGGGCACCACTCGGGCTGGGGCAGCCTCTCCCCTGGGGATTCCCATTCCAACGGGTCTCGCTAGTGCCCGGGCAAGGAGTCCCGTCGCACCCGTCCCCAGGGTCACAATAAACCTGCTGCTGGTCTGAGCCTTCCCTGGGGCCTGGGGCTTCCTGCTCCCCCGGGACGCACCGCCAGCTCCCTGCAAGCTCAGGAACACACGCATGTGCACACGCGCGCCCCTCTGCCTGCATCAGCCCAGGAACGCCTATGCACCTGTGCACACACACATCCACACACATGCGTGCACACCCCTCTGCCTGTATCAGCCTCAGGAGTGCAAAGACACACACACACACATCCCTTTACCTGTATCAGCCTCAAAAACACACAAGCAGACACGCATGCACACACCTCCCCCCCCGCCTATATCAGCCTGATGAACACCCTCCACCCCAGCACTGGGACGCCGGCTCCAACACCCCCTGCACCCCTGCGAGGGCACTGCCCAGCCCCAGCAGATGCAAACAACGCATCGCCATTGCGGGCGGCTGCGGCCAGGCCCCCCACGCTTGGAGCAGGCCGGAGACGAGGGGCCGGGGTGCAACGGGGGGCCAAATGCCTGGGGCCGCTCCCACGGTGCATGCCTCTTGCAGGCAGCTACGCACTTGGCCGGGGGGAGCCAGCATCAGGGTCTGGCCCCATTGCTCTGACTCCCCCAGACCGGCTGGGGGTCAGGGTGGGCCAGCCCCCGCTGGAACCCAGCCCCCCCACGGCCCAAGGCAGTCGCTCCCAGCC